GTACCACCCCCTCCCTCGTCCCCCACCATAGCTTGGGTAGAGCAGAAAGGTGATCTCATAGGGTTTTTCCACACAATTATTCTGATTTTTAAAACACAAGTATGTGAAAGCCCCAATCATTGCCTCTTAAAATCCCCTTTGTGTTCAAAGAGGAAGCTTGGTGAATAGTTTCAGCAAAGTATCAGGAATATCAGATAGCACTGATTCACCCAGTTCTGGAAACAAACCTCAGTTTCTTCAGTTATTGGTTCAAGATGAGAAAACTCTAAAAATGTGAAAACTTCCCTTTGTTGTGTACTAATTTGGCAACAAACCAGAGATCAGCCTGTCCTCTGACAAATGTGACACATGAATTTGACAAGTGTTCCATCTTCTTCCACCCCGGTTCATGCTGCGCCCTTCTGGCTACACTGCTCCCTGGGTTCTCTGTTCAAGTCTTACTCATCTTTGGAGGTCCCACTCTCTCCTGGTAACCTTCCCCAACTTACTGGCTTAGAGGGAGCTTTTCCTCCCCTGAACTCCTCTGGCACATACATCAGAATCTCTCAATTGACATCTAGTCAATTTCCAGGGTAGAGATTGTGCTGAATTCTTACTCCCACACCTGTGGGGGTGCTGGTGCTTTGCCTACAGTGCTGATGTGTGGTGTTGGCTGGGCCCCAGGATTACCTGTGCAGCTTTTAGGAATTACACATGTCCTAGTCTCACACCTTATGAATCAGTCTCACTACTTGGGTGATTCTGATTTACCCCTGGAGTGAGAGCTACCACTTTGCCATTATTGTAGGGATTACATGAACTAATATGAAGTGTTAGTCACTCAGAGGTGTCCAACTCTTTGCGACCCCATGGACTGGGGCTCTCCAGGCTCTTCTGTCCATGGGATTCTGGAGTGGGTTGCTATTTCCTTCTCCAAGAGATCTTCCCAACCCAGGGATCAAACCCAGGTCTACTGCATTAAGCTCTCAATAGAGATATGTTGACAGGCACTTTTTCTTTTTAATTAAACTCTAGACTTTCATTTTAAATTACAACCTGAATGCTGTGGCTGCTTCCTAGCTCCACTTTCAGCCCTTAGCTCCTACTCCCTTCCTTTCCAACAGAACCCCTCTATATGTTTAGAGGGCTGCCCCTCCTCAAGAGTCCGCTTGCTTCAGGGGAAGTCCTCCCCACCCTGTGTGAGGTGAGGGGCTGAACAGTCTATGAGGTTAAATCCATGGTTCAGGAACAGATGTGTGACCCAGTTATGGCCACTGAGAAGCAAGAAGAGTGCTAAAGGCTTCTGGGAAGGGTCTTCCTCTTTACTCTTTCTCCTGCTATTATCTTTGTTACTGACAGCCACCCTGTGGTCTTTCTCTCTCTCTCTCCCCTTTCCTCCTTTCCCAGAAGGGAGAAAGAAGGTTTAGGATGAATATGTGAAAAATCCTGGATCGTTACTGTTGAGCAAAACAAACCTGAGTTGATCTCAATTTGGACTTCTGCGTATGTGCACCAATAAATGCCTAATTATTTAAAACAGTTCTGTTATTGTGGCTGAAATATCCTCCTAGACATACTTGTGTTTATTCCTTTGATCCCAAGTATCACCTGGCATAATGTCCTGTTTAGTAAATTGTCAATAAGCATCTGTTGAATGAATGAATGAATGCATATGAGTGCCTATATATACAAGTACTGGAGACATAGTAGCCTAACAAAATCCCAGTCTTCATGGATTTTATACTCTAGTGGGAATAAAACTGCATTTGTGGACCAGGTTAGCAGCTTCGCTACAGAAGCAAATTTTATGTTTCCACTTCTTTAAGTTGATGGGTTCAATTCTCTGACTTAGAAGAGGAACAATTGTCCCAAAGATTCACTGCTCAGGAATTCACCTGACCACCAGAGTGACTTTTTCATGCTAAAGAAAAAGGAAATGACAAGTGACATCAAGAAGAATACTTTGTTCCCAAGTTTGTGACTCAGAGGAAAAACGACAGTGCTCTTACTATTATATCTCAGTTCCAGAGCATAAGATAGGAAATTGCAGAGGATCAAACGGGGAGGAAGCAACAGTTAGAACTGGACATGGAACAACAGACTGGTTCCAAATAGGAAAAGGAGTACGTCAAGGCTGTATATTGTCACCCTGCTTATTTAACTTATATGCAAAGTACATCATGAGAAATGCTGGGCTGGATGAAGCACAAGCTGGAATCAAGACTGCTGGGAGGAATATCAATAACCTCAGATATGCAGATGACACCACCCTTATGGCAGAAAGTGAAGAGGAACTAAAAAGCCTCTTGATGAAAGTGAAAGAGGAGAGTGGAAAAGTTGGCGTAAAGCTCAACATTCAGAAAACTAAGATCATGGCATCTGGTCCCATCACTTCATGGGAAATAGATGGGGAAACAGTGGAAACAGTGTCAGACTTTATTTTGGGGGGCTCCAAAATCACTGCAGATGGTGATTGCAGACATGAAATTAAAAGATGCTTACTCCTTGGAAGGAAAGCTATGACCAACCTAGATAGCATATTAAAAAAGCAGAAACATTACTTTGCCAACAAATGTCCATCTAATCAAGGCTGTGGTTTTTCCAGTGGTCAGGTATGGATGTGAGAGTTGGACTGTGAAGAAAGCTGAGTGCAGAAGAATTGATGCTTTTGAACTGTGGTGTTGGAGAAGACTCTTGAGAGTCTCTTGGACTGCAAGGAGATCCAACCAGTCCATCCTAAAGGAGATCAGTCCTGGGTGTTCATTGGAAGATCTGATGCTGAAGTTGAAACTCCAATACTTTGGCCACCTGATGTGAAGAGTTGACATATTGGAAAAGATGCTGATGCTGAGAGGGACTGGGGGCAGGAGGAGAAGGGGACGACAGAGGATGAGATGGCTGGATGGCATCACCAACTCGATGGACATGAGTTTGGGTAAACTCCCGGAGTTGATGATGGATAAGGAGGCCTGGTGTGCTGCGATTCATGGGGTTGTAGAGTCAGACACAACTGAGCGACTAAACTGAAATGAATGTGGTAATTAGCTTCAGCAATGGAAAAAACAGAATATGTGTACACTTTTCAAGTAGGGGTCATACTATAAACTTTATAAGAGAATGGTTATTGTCTGGGAGCTGCTAGGAAGAGAACACCAGGCCACAGAAGACAGGACCGGTGTAAGCCAGTGAGGGCAGTGGTAAGAGCTGGCTCACCGGACTCCAGCTCTGTACCCACCCAGCTTTGGAAGACAGAAGGTAGAGTGGCAGCAAGAGCGGGGATGTGTGAGAGAGCAGCTCAGGTGGGGGTGACGCAGAGGCATCCCTTCAAAGTTAATCACGACTCACACCTGTTCAGCACAGTGAGCCTAATCTTTCCACAGGTTCCATCCTTCCTGGTTTGAGTTGGTCTCTAAGTTTAGAGAATCACTTTCCTAGTGTCAGTTTTACAGTTTTCTCTTCATGGTGAATCGGAAATCAATAATGCTGATGAGCTGGAAATGACTGCAAGCAAAATACAATATTTTGAAGACATCTGGACCTTGTTATGGCAGATGAGTTGCTTAAACCCAACCCATTCTAGATAGATCCATACGGGGGTCTACTAAATCTAGGTTTGAAGCAAAGACCCAAGGAACATGAATGATGGGCATGAATATTCTTCTTCCTCCTCTTCCTCAGTGTTTTCATTTTTCTGTTGGGTTATTTATCTGTTTTCTTAATGATACACAGGATTTTATTTTTTTAAAGTCACATCCAACTCTTTGTGACCCATGGACTATATAATCCATGGAATTCTCTGGGCCAGAATAGTTGAGTGGGTAGCCTTTCCCTTCTCCAGGGGATACTCACAACCCAGGGATCAAACCCAGGTCTCCTGCATAGAAGGCGGATTCTTTACCAGCTGAGCCACAAAGGAAGAGATACACAGGATTTTTTAAAAAATATTCTGCAAATATTTTCTTATGGCCTATGGCTTGTCTTTAACTTCGTAATGATACTTTTGGTTGTACACATGATTTAAATTTTAATACAGTCATACTTTTTCAATCTTTTCAAGGATGAAGCAACACAGATTACGTTCAGGTGTATGTGCTGGAGGAGGAAGTTATCAAAGGAAATTCTTGCCAAATGACCTTTCTTTTCTCTGTAAAATAAATAGAATAAACTCTTACTAGATAGCTGCAGAGTCCTTAAGCTTCCTCCTCCAGCCAACATACATGAATTGAGTCTACAACAGATGCCTAGACCTGGGAGCTGGCCAGGGTAGGGGCATGGAGGCAGGGGATGAAACGGGATTTCATACATGGAACTCTGCCTTACTAGAGCTCATCGTCAGAGGACTAATGTGTGTTAGATTGCGTAGCTTTGATACACTTCAGTAGAACCTCAGAGGAAGGAGAAATGTCAATAAGATTGAGTATCCAGTATATGGACTGGATTTATCACGGAAGATCATATGTCAGCTTTCTTGACGTCCTGATGGTGGTGGTGGTTTAGTTGCTCAGTCATGTCTGACTCTCTGTGACCCCATGGGCTGTAGCCCACCAGGCTCCTCTGTCCATGGAATTCTCCATGCATGCATACTGGAGTGGGTTGTCATTTCCTTCTCCATAAACTAAGAATCACAGAATCTCAGCACTGAAAGGAAAAACAGATAAGGAAATGGAGCTGGACAAAGTTAAGGTCTTCCTGCTGAAGGCCTCACAGCTAGTGAAAGGCAGAATCCACACTAGAACTACAGATCCTAGGTCCAGTGTGCTGTTTGACCTGTCAGTGAAGCAAGCTGTTGTGTTTTCCTTTGATCACAAAAGAGATATCCGAGAGCAACGCAAAAGAAAAATGAAGTAAAACAAGACAAAGCATCAGTTACAACCAAAAAAAGCCCATGACCAATTACTCTGGGTTCACAAACTGCTAGAACCAGCTGTTATAGTCACATCAACTTGACTGTCTTATGAGGATACAGGAGATATGTTCTCTTTTTTTTTTAGATGGGACAGAAAAAAGTAAAGTGGTTTAACCTGGGCCACTTTACAAGTCACAGCAAAAATGAGAGTAAATAAACATGTGCTCTGTGTTCAATATTTTTCTCTTCATAAACCATAAAACAAATGGCCACATATATCTATAAACTGTAGTCACTTTCTTGTATCAGTTGCATGAGTTTTGCTCTTCTGCTGTCAGGTTAATTGGTTCTATTCACTCCGCCTATGGAGAAAGCATCAAATTAGGCACCAACTCAGTAACACTGAAACAACAAAAAAAGAGATACATTGATTGCTCATAATCAAGCAATTACAGTCAGGTTTTTCCTACCTAGATACTTAGCAGCAAACACAAAAGGAAAAACTCCCTGCAAAGAGACACATCATTAATTAGGATCAATCAGAAGTTTCTCTCCATCAAGAAAATGCCTCAAAATATTAATTCCTTATATCTTACTGTAGTAATAAACCATATGTGGCAACTGATATTATGGGTCTATGTGTCAGAGAAATACCACAATGCTAATTATAAGAAATCTTTAGGATGTTCTCCAAAGTCAAATATAATGTTCACTGCTATCAAAAGTTTTCTTTTGATATCAGACTCCATGTTTCTCAAGGAGACCCAATTCTACTAGTGCCAGGCACATCTTGCCAAATGTAGACAATGCAAAGAACAAGATTAACCACATGACCCTTAGACATGATATCCTGTGTGTGTGCATGGTGAGTTGCTTCTTTCATGTTCGACTCTTTGTGACCCTATAGAGTAGCCTGGCAGGCTCCTCTGACCATAGGATTCTCCAGGCAAGAATACTGGAGTGGGTTGCCATGCCCTCCTCCAGGGGTCTTCCTGATCCAGGGATTGGACCCATGTCTCTTACATCTCGAACATTGGCAGGAGGTTTCTTTACCACTAGCGCCACCTGGGAAGCCTGAGGCCCAAGAGTCGCTCCATTCTAAACACCAAGAGTCCAGGGTGTTTGCTATTGGACATAAAACACTAAGGGAGCAGACATGGGAAACAAGGAGTTCTGTGAAAGCTAGTGAGCAGCCACCAAAGTCCCATCAGAACTGGGTTATTAAAGACATTTTTCCAGGCAGGAAAGTGGGAAAGGCATGTGACATAAAACAGACGCTAGGGGCAAAGCAGCAACGCATGAAAGGAAAGGGTAAGTTCATAAATGGTGAGTATGGTCCATGCTCAGGCTGAGCAGCAGGCTGTGACCATACTGCCCATGGCCTTATATGCTAGGCTAACAAATGGGATGTGGACAAGTAGGTGTGAGTATGTTTGGAAGATGCAGAAGGGGGGGCACGCGGAAGATCAATCTGGGAGCCAAGTGTGGAAGATGCATCTTGGGGAAGGATTCCCAATCTTAGGTGACTGCATCAGCCTAGGTGAGAAATGATGATAGCTTGGTCTGCAGCACTTTCACAGAGAAGAAATACACCCAAAAAGACACTAAGAGGGTAGAATTAACCAAATTACTATAAGGGTAGGGGGAGTGATTCCTTCTGCTGAAACTGGAAAAAAATAAGAAGGACATCAGTATTACAGAATACAAAAGAAGGCAAAGTCAGGCGAAATAGAAAATTTTAAAAACTTCTTCATATCCCTCCCTGAGGCCAGCCTTGCTCACAGAACATTTTCCAAGGATGATGACGGCTGCCAGGGCTGGACCTGCTTTGTCTTCACCCCTGGAGGTAGCCAGACCCTGCTGCCCCTCCTCCACGTCAGCAGGCCAGGAACGTGGGGGATGGTCTTTTGATTAAAAAAGAAAAAAATTATGTATTTAAACTTTTATTACAAGGTCTCAATTAAACAGAAATTGTAGCACTGGCAAAAAAAAATTCTTCATAAATAGATGATCATGTATTTTCTGCCTGCAAAAAGGTTATTTTCAGGACATATCATTTATTCCTCCTTTAAAAAAAAAAACTAAAACTTACCCTAAAGGTTTTTCTTTTTATAAAATTTGCCCTATTGGCTTTTGGTGTGCCAGAGTAAATGATCACCAATCGTGCCAAAAACTTTTGCAGCATCCTTCAACAACAGAAATACTTAATCTTTGTACCTGAGATGCTTAAGCATGAGCAAGTTTCACGCGCGCGCATGTGCGCGCGCTCCCACACACACACACACACACACAAGAAATAAATTCAAAACAAACATCATCTGCAGGAGGAGCCAAGGCATTCTTCCATGAGCTTTTAACACAAAGAAAACAAGATGAGAAGGGGGTTTCATGGCTTCTAAAATGAGTAGCTTCTGCAAGAGAGGCAGCCTCAGAGGTGCCAAAAATAAGGGTGCCATGGGGTGAGCACGCCTTCTTCTCTAATGTGGATGCTGCGGCGTGCTGCCCAGATTCCCTCTTCCAGACTGAGGGGCTCATCCTCCCAGAGGCAGGGAGTTAGTGGTTGACAGCTTTCAGCTGAATGGCTCTTAGCCCTCTTCACAGGGCAGCCCATATCTGTGGCTGACTATTTGGGATTGGGTGGCTATAAAGTTCCGGTTCCCTTGACTTAAGGTGGGGAGCATCTCTGCAGCGTCACCCTAGCTCCAGAGCTCCTAAAGGATTGTTTGATGCCTTTGTTGCAACTGTTTTGCAGCTCCTCCTTTCTCCCTCTGCCCCACACTGCGCCCGTCACTCTCCCAGGTGATGTTCCCAAGGGCAGACCCCAGTAAACCTTCTGCACAGAAATCTGAGTTCTTTTCCCAGGACCCTAACACATGACACCTATGAGGACCACAAAGAGCCCTTTGTGATCACTAATCACAGAGAATGAAGGTGTCCCTATAAAAGCATATATTAAATGTCCTGAGTCTCGAACAACATGAGCCACACTTCCTACTTATATTTCAGCTTATATTCTAAAGCTGACAACAGACAGACGTTGTAAACAGCACACAAGTGATCTAAAGGACTTTGGATATAAAGCTATTTTATAAAAAAAAAAATTACAGCAAGTACACATAAAAATGTGTATATTAAAACCAAGAACAGGAGTTGAGTACAGATGACCAGCAGGCCTTCATCACTTGGATACTATAAACCATAGTTGCTGTTTTTTTTGGCTATTTATTTTTCCCTTTCTCTTCCCCGACAAAGCTGTTCGGCAACGTTCTTTCACTAAGGCTCCATCATTGGGGGAGGAGGGGAGAAAATCGGATATCAAAAGATGTCTGTGTCTGAGAATTCCCTGGTAATCCAGTGGTTAAGACTATGGTTCCAAGGCAGGGGGCGTGAATTTGATCCCTGGTCTGGGGACTAAGATCCCACATGCCCCGCAGCCAAAACCAACCAACAAACAAAAAGATATGTGTGTCCCTACTGCCACCTAATGGTTCTCTGAGCACTACCACCTCCATTGTGTACGGTTTTTTGTTTTGTTTTGTTTTTTTCCGACTGCTGACACTATACCAATAAAATGGCTAAATGTGACCATATCAAACTATAGACCACTAGTCCTACTGTGGCTAAACTCTGAGGCTCATTCTGGCTTCTGGAAAAAGTCATGCACGCTGTCTCCGTTTTCCTCTTTACGTCTGGGAATGTATACCCACCCATTGTTGTTTGGTCTAAGTATCCTTTTTTAAAAAAAAAAAAAAGATTGTTTTATTATCCACAGTGCGATTAAAGTGATGTGGACTATACCAGGTTTTTCCTGATTTTTTTGCGATATGTTTTTTTCTAAGATAGATAAATAAACAGGCAACATGAATCTGGGAGTGGGAAACACCCAGATAATAGGGGTAACTTCAGAGGCTGTGATGCAGATGAATCCCATTAACTCTGGGTTTAAAAGACCACCTTAAGACCACTGATGGAGGCTATATATAAGAAAGCCAAACAGAAGCAAAAGAAATCTTAAAGCTCCTGTCACCACATCAGAGGGCAAGGCCCACTGGACTCTCTCCTGCCTGTGGGGAAGTCAAAGCAATTCTTTCTCAAGTTTTCCTTCCTGACCTTCAAAGGACTCCAGTGACTGTTTGGGCCTTCACTGCCCACACCTTTCTACTAAGCTTTGACCCATCCATCTTTCTGTGGCCTTCTGTTTCTGATAATCACATAAGCTTCTGAATTCTCATATATTACTTCCAAGGTTGCTAAACTACTGCTAGCTCCTAGATTTCCCCTCACCTATCCTATCTGCTGCTTTTCCCCACCGTCCCCCTTCAACACACACAACACACGCCAAAACTATTCTGACTAGTCTATAAACACTGTTTTCCATCTTTTGAAAATTTTGAAACACAATTTTTCAACAAAATCTGAAAGACTAGTACCATGAGCAGACACATACATCTTCCACAATGACTGTTAAATATTTTGCCATGTTTTAATTATCTGTCCATGTGTGTGTATATACACAAAATGAATTTCCCATTTTATGTAATTTTTTGATGGAACTATTTGAAGGTAAGTCATAGATGTAATGGTACTTGGTCCCTAATTACCTGAATAGGACATTCTCCTAACTAACTTAATTCCACAGTAATAAAATGAACCATAATTCAGTATCACCTGATATCAAGTCTATAAAGAAATTTCCTAAAGTGTCCTCAAATATTCTTTTATAGCTTCATTTTTCCACACCAAAACCCAATCAAGACTTACTCACTGAATTTATTACATCTTTTGTCTTATAATCTAGAGCAGTACTCCACTCTTCTCAGGGACAGTACTTTCTGAAGGATTTAGGCCAGTTTTTGTATGTTACACATTCTGAATCTGATTCTTCCATCATGGTCATTTTACTTGTTTTTCTCTCCCTGTATTTCCTATAAACTAGAAGTTGGGTCAAAAGGCTTCATTATATTTAAGTTAAGCATCTTGGGCAAGGTTCCTTCATAGGTAACGCTGTTTACTTCAGTTCAGTTCAGTTGCTCAGCCATGTCTGACTCTTTGCAACTCCATGGACTGCAGCACGCCAGGCTTCCCTGTCCATNTCTTTTAATTTCATGGCTGCAGTCACCATCTGCAGTGATTTTGGAGCCCCCCAAAATAAAGTCTGTCACTGTTTCCACTGTTTCCCCATCTATTTGCCATGAAGTGATGGGACCAGATGCCATGATCTTAGTTTTCTGAATGTTGAGCTTTACGCCAACTTTTTCACTGTCCTCATTCACTTTTATCAAGAGGCTCTTTGGTTCTTCTTCACTTTCTGCCATAAGTGTGGTGTCATCTGCATATCTGATATTATTGATATTTCCCCTGGCAATCTTGATTCCTGTTTGTGCTGCATCCAGTCCAGCATTTTCCATGATGTACTCTGCATATAAGTTAAATAAGCAGGGTTACAATATACAGCCTTGACGTACTCCTTTCCTGATTTGGAGCCAATCTGTTGTTCCATGTCCAGTTCTAACCGTTGCTTCTCAGGAGATTTCTCAGGAGGCAGGTTAGGTGGTCTGGTATTCTGATCTCTTGAAGGATTTTCCAGTTTGTTGTGATCCACACAGTCAAAGGCTTTGGCATAGTCAATAAAGCAGAAGTAGATGTTTTTCTGGAACTCTCGTGCTTTTTCAGTGATCCAGCAGGTGTTGGCAATTTGTTCCTCTGCCTTTTCTAAATCCAGCTTGAACATCTGGAAGTTCTCGGTTCACGTACTATTGAAGCCTGGCTTGGAGAATTTTGAGCATTACTTTGCTAGTGTGTGAGATGAATGCAATTATGTGATAGTTTGAGCATTCTCTTGCATTGCCTTTCTTTGGGATTGGAATGAAGACTGACCTTTTCCAGTCCTGTGGCCAATGCTGAGTTGTCAAAATTTGCTGGCATATTGAGTACAGCACTTTCACAGCACCATCTTTTAGTACTTGAAATAGCTCAACTGGATTTCCATCACCTCCACTAGCTTTGTTCCTAGTGATGCTTCCTAAGGCCTATTGACTTTGCACTCCAGGATGTCTGGCTCTAGGTGAGTGATCACACCATTGTGGTTATCTGGGTTGTGAAGATCTTTTTTGTGTAGTTCTTCTGTAGTTATTCTTGTCACCTTTTCTTAATATCTTCTGCTTCTGTTAGGTTCATACCATTTCTGTCCTTTATTGTGCCCATCTTTGCATGAAATGTTCCCTTGGTATCTCTAATTTTCTTGAAGAGATTTCTAGTCTTTCCCATTCTATTGTTTCCTCGATTTCTTTGCATTGATCGCTGAGGAAGGCTTTCATATCACTCCTTGCTATTCTTTGGAAAGAGGATATATTCAGATGGGTATATCTTTCCTTTTCTTCTTTGCCTTCAGCTTCTCTTCTTTTCTCAGCTATTTGTAAGGCCTCTGCAGACAACCATTTTGCCTTTATTTTTCTTGGGGATGGTCTTGATCACTGCCTCCTGTACAATGTCACAAACCTCCATTCCATAGTTCTTCAGGCACTCTATCAGATCTAATCCCTTGAATCTGTTTGTCACTTCCACTGTATCATCATAAGGGATTTGATTTAGGTCATATCTGAATGGTCTAGTGGTTTTCCCTAGTTTCTTCAATTTAAGTCTGAATTTGGCAATAAGGAGTTCATGACCTGAGCCACAGTCAGCTCCCAGTCTTGTTTTTACTGACTGTATAGAGCTTCTCCATCTTTGGCTGCAGAGAATATAATCACTCTGATTTCAGTATTGACCATCTGATGTCCATGTGTAAAGTCGTCTCTTGTGTTGTTGGAAGAGTGTTTGCTATAACCAGAGCATTCTCTTGGCAAAACTCTTGTTAGCCATTGCCCTGCTTCATTTTGTACTCCAATGCCAAACTTGCCTATTA